ACAATCGTTTGACAATAACACGAACGATTTAATAATAAAATCTTTGTAATTATCAGATGTATCGATACTAACGTTCTGATTGCTTTTGCAATTCCATAAGTTTTATAATTATAGCCATTGTGCGCTGAAGGATCCGGTCTAAAATGATTGTAACAACTATAACAGCATTTTTAGACACAACATCGGAGCTGTATTGCAATAAATCATTCACTAATGGCAAGACAATAATCGATGCTTCTAAAGGATCTACTATTTGTTCAAGTCTCAGTTTTCTCAACACGTCTTCTTCTTTTTCTCCACGTAGCCTGTATGTTGCTATTGTTTGTATCATTTGCTCCTTCATGGGATATCTTATTCTTTCAGCACATTTATCGATAATTTCATTTATTATATCGTCTACTACAATTATAGTTTCTATTCCTCGAGATATACACAGTTCTATACAATCTAAAATCATCTTCTTTATCTCCAAATACTCTGTTAACAGCATCGTATTAGATTGTTTCGGTTCGCAAGACAGATCAGTTTGCGTGTCATTATCTATGATGAAAGTTTGCGTGCGATTGTTATACTTGATGTACGTTTCTGTCGCTTCATCAAGCGTTTCAACTGGTACTTGACTCGTTGGATCGTTTATCCAAAATGCACGCGCTATTACAAAGTATAAAATTTCAGTGACATCCATTTGTGTTTCTTCTTCGCTGCTAAGTTTAGACTCGAATTCTTCACGTTCTTCTTCCGTGACGTCCATGGACAGTTGTTCTATCACAACGCTCTGCGATGTATCGGGATGGAAGCTAATAATAGTTGCTGCCACATTACTATACTTTAAGTTGGGCATGGGACCTTCATTCATAGACGCTGTACACGTATATCGTATCTTAATAATTACGTTAAACAAAAAAACATTAACTTCTTAATTTAATATTTGTACGAAGAAATGTTATGATGAATTAACGTTAAGTTAGGTGGCTCATCCTGTATAATAAGGAATACGTGTAATATTTTGTACATCATCTTTAATCTGTATAAAATATAATCTTTACTAAGGGAAGCTACGTTTGTGGAATTTTAATTTTTTTATGACGTAGAACCTGTTAAATTTGTGTTATTGAAAATTCAGACGTCGACAG